TGCTACAGAGAGGATGGTAGAACAGAAGCTACTTTTAGCTGGGATTCCACTGAGCAAAAGTTGATATTTAAAACAGGAAAAGACCAAGAACTTGGGGCAGTCAAAGGAGGGGGATTTAATCAGTTCCCACTAATCATTTAATTATCAAATATATCCCAGCAGGAATTGTGAGAAAGGCTGAGACACACACATACTCACAAATGTTGAACATCCTAAGATCATAACTCAATTGACTTGTAAGAGAAATTACTATATAGGCTTATTTAGGAATTAAGTGTGCTCTATGGACTCATAAACCCACATGCGCTCACCCGTGTGTGTGTGTGTGTGTGTGTGTGTGTGTGTGGTGCATGCACACATACACACACACATACATACACATATAAACACTACAACCATTTGGCTAAAAGTCCTCTTTCTCTTTTTATAGGCTAATGTAAAAGTCCTAAAACAGTGACAGCCTCTTCCAGAAGACTTTGTTATGCATTTTAAATTACCCTTTTTATTTCCCCTTAGGGACCCTAGCCCATAATCTATTTGTGTGATGAGAAAGGCCAAACTGGAAAGGAAAAGATGCATTCATGAATGTTTTCTCCTCCCTTTGGAGGAGGCCAAGCTGCTTTTTTTATTCCTTCCTGTTAAAAGGGCAGTCAGGTGGCTGCAAAGATTTAGGGGAGCTTTTTGGGGGGTAGATTGGAAGTTTCAGAAATGGAAAGGCTCCTTGAGATCATTTCAGCAACTCCTTTTTTTTTTTAACAGCTAAGGAAACTGAGGCTTAGGGAGGGGAAAAGAAACACAGGTGGGGAGTTGCAGAACCAGGATTCAGAAATAGATCTTAGTCAAAGGACCTGAGCTTGAATCCCAGCTCTGCTTCTTAACTAGCTATGTGACCAAGTCACTTCAACTCTTTTGGCCTCAGTTTCTTCATGTATAAAATTAGAGAGATGAACTCGATGACCTCTCATGTTCCTTCTACCTCTAACCTTCTGGTTTAGTTTCAAATCAAAACTTTGCTACTTACTACGTGTATAGCCTTGGGAAAGTCACATCATTTCTCTGGGCCTTACAATCAATTAATGAATCAAGAAACATTTATTAAGCGTTGATTATATGCCTGGATTATACTAAGTAATGGGGATACAAAACTCAAAAATTAAAACTATTCTTGCCCTCAAGGAGCTTATATTCTAATAGGAAAAACAACATTTACGGCTATAGAATATTTGTGAAATCAATACAAGGTTATTTCAGAGGAAGAATACTAGTGGCTGACAGTCACAGGAAAGACTGTTGCACTTCAGCTGACCTTTGATGGAAACTAGGGGTCTTGAGGGGTGGAGGTGAGTAAGGAGGGCATTTCAGGAATGGGGAACAGCCTATTTGAAGGCACAGAGATGGGGGATGGAATACCAAGAGCAAGAGATTATGTTTACTTGACCTTACACTACAAGAAGGGGAGTAATATGTAATCGGCCTGGAAGTGTTGGAGCCATGTTGTGAAGGATTTTAAACCACAAACAGAGGTATTTGAATTTGATCCTGATGGTAATAAGTAGTCAATGGAGGTTATGGACTAGAAGAGTGACATGTCAAACCTATGCTTTATAATATCATTTTGACACTTGGATGGAGGAAGGTTTGGGGCGGGGGGAGATACTTGAGAACTAATTAGGAGGCTGTGGCAATAATCCAGGCAACAGTGATGACGGCGGGAGCTAGGGCAGTAGCCTCATAGCTGCAAGCAGCAGCAGCAGTAATAATAACTAGCATTTATATAGTGCTTTGAAATTTGCAAAGCATTTTTTATTTATTATTTCATTTTGTTCCTCACAACAACTGCGTGGGGTAGATTCTATGATAATCCCCATTTTATACATGACATAGCTGCCGTTGGGAGAGAGGTTAAATGATTTGCCCATAGTCACACAAATAATAAGTGTCTGTGGTAGGGACAGCTAGGTGACGGAGTGGATTGAGAACAGGCCTGGAGTCAGTTGAGTCTTGGTGAGTTCAGTTCTGACCACAGACACTTACTAGCTGGGTGACCCTGGGCAAGTCACTTAACCCTGTTTGCCTCATCTGTAAAATGAGCTGGAGAAGGAAATGGCAAACCACTCCAGTGTCTTTGCCAAGAAAACCCTAAAAGGGGTCAGAAGAATCAGACACAACTGAATGACAACAAGTTTGGATTTGAACTCAGGTCCTTCTGATTCCATGAGTGCTGTTCTATCTACTGTGTCAACTAGCTGCCTAGGGGAGGTGGAATGTGAGAATATCATGGAGGTAGAATCAACAGGACTTGGTAATTGATTGGCTATGAGGAGTGAGGGAGAGTGAGAGATTCAAAATAACTCCAAAGTCATGAACCTGGCTGACGGAACAATAAGGATGGTATTGCTCTCAACCAAAATAGGGTAGTGTGTTTGAGAGGCGGATTTTGGGAGAAAGATAATGAATTTTTGGAAATGCTAAGTTGGAAGTGCCTATGGGTCACCTAATAGAGTTGAACAAAATAATATCTAATGTCCCTCTCTGCTCTAAGTTTCTGATCTTAACCTATAATCTAGGATTTACTCAATGCAAAGCAAAATCTCATAATATGCTCTGCTATGAGAAGATACTTAGCCCAATGTCTTATATCTCTAGTGTCTATATTTAAAGCTAGACCAAGAGTTAAAGTCTTGGATAATTTGAAATGAGGTTCAGAATAATAGCCCCAGACACTGCAAATTCTTTACAGATCAAAAAAAGATTAAAGATTGAATAAGGCCCATTATGCTGTACTTGTCTAAAAAGAACATGAGGTTTGGGTTTTTTTCCCCCAAGTAGTTCAATTTAGAAATAGACCCTCATCCTCTTAAATTCACAGAGATGAATAGTGGCAGAATACAATAATTGTATGGAAATTGTCTAGTCTTTGTCTCAAGACAACCATAGGATTTGGAGCTATCAGGGAGCAGAGTAAGCTTCTGGACCAGGGGTTCTTAAACTGTTTGTGCCATGGTCCTCTCTGGCAGTCTGGTGATTTGTAAAATCCCTTTTCAGGATAATATTTTTAAATGTATAAAATAAAATACAAAGGATTACAAAGGACATTATATTGAAATACAGTAATCAGAATAGTTAAAAATAAGTTCTTATATATCAAATTGCTTGCTGTCTCAGGAAAAATGGAAGGGAGGGGTGGGAAAGAATTTGGAACAGAAAATTTTTAAAAAATGTTAAAAATTCTTTTCACATGTAATTGGGAAAAGATAAAATGTTATAAAAAACAAAAACAAGTTCCTGGATTCCAGCTTAAGAAACCTTGGTCCAGACTAACCTCTTCATTTTACAGATGCCAAGGAAACTGAGGCACAGAAATATACAGTTTTTTACTTTTGGACCAGACCTATGAACAGCAATTCTGAGAGATGAATATTTCCAGCCCTGGTAATAACCTTATAAACCAGAAAGGTCCAGAGTTCCAGGGGTGTCTGCTGGCAATGAAGGCGATTCTTACAACTGTATTCCAATTGTTTTCTCCAAGAAGAAAACAAAATGTTGTTACCAGGAGATTAATACCTTGTGAATTGCTTGGGTGGTACAGATCTGAGGTAAATGGCCTGAATATCTGTTCAGCAGCCTTAATAAAGTGTTTCATGTTTAAAGTATGTGTTAATGGATGCTTGTGAATCTTTGGTTTTAAGGACTTTTTTGTGGTTGAGGAAATAAATAAGTGTCCTCTACCTGATATCTGAATACCTGATATTGAATAAGTTTTCTAATAAGGACCCTGTTAATTCCTTTGGGGGGACCCTAGACATGAGCCATACCTCAATTTTATTTAAAAGATTTTCCCTAGGATCTTGGAGTTGGGGCATACTAAACCAGAAAATCTGAGAAAAGGTCTGAATCCTTTCTCTTTGGATCAGGCTCCCCCAGAATTAAATCCAAGTCCCTTTAAGCCCAAAGTCCCATTTTGGGAAATCTCCTACCCCACCCCTCCTCCACAGGCCAGGGATAACATCTGGACAAGAACATCACAGGATGAGGAGACTTACATGGTTAAGATCTGCATCCATCAAAGAAGTACCCACATCAATAAAATCATGAATTCATCAAAATTTCCAAGTATACTATTTTTAACAGGATCCTTTTAGAAAGGTCATTTTAAAAGTTGTTTAATGGTTGTTTTTTGGTTACCAAAATACACTGTAAAAAAAAATTACAACAGCAAGAACTGAAACCAAAAACAGTCTCCTAGGATCATTTGGAGGTAGAAGGGACCTTGCAGGTTCTCCACTCTAACTCATTCATGCGATAACTGATTTACCTTGCTTTGGCTTCTGAGCTACACTCAGAGTAACTCCAAGTATTCACAACTTATTTCCAGAAGGCTTGAAAAAGAAAAGTCAGAGGGTAAGGGAAAGGAAGTCACACCAAAATAATCCAAGATACGTGTTTGTTTGTCTGTTTGTTTGTTTGTTTGTTTGTTTGTTTTGGGGGGGGGGGGTTGGAGGAGAAGAAAGGAAGCAGAAATCTTAGCTCAACTACTTTGCAATATTCTCCAGAGGTTTGTGCATTTTTGTATTTATGCCAAACAAAACCATGAAACAGCAATATCTTTGAGAGACGTTTATTATTCAACAAAACCCTTGTTTACATGGACATTTCCCCAACAAGTAACACCTTTTCCAGGCCCACCAAAACTTCTGTGTTGTTGGTGGACTGAGTTCTTGCTCTGGGCACTACATGCCCCCAGATTCACATTCGTTTCTCAAAAGAGATTTATAAGGATGACAGGCATTTGCTGAAATTCTGATTTTCTTGCTAATTGCTGATGGATACTTAATGCCTTCTGTAAAAATTTAAATCTCCCCAATATCAAGTATCTTCTAGAGGCCCCTCTCCAAAAGGATACCCTCTATTAGGGGTTCTTAACTTGAGATTCATGAACTTTTAACAAATATTTTGATTAGCTATATTTCAATAAAATTGATTTTCTTTGTAGTCCTATGGATTCTATTTTATGCATTTAAAAACACTTTCCTGAGGCGTCCATAGGCTTCACCAGACTGCCAAGGGGGTTCATGACATAAAAAGTTAAAGAACCCCTACTCTAGAGGAAGTTAAGAGCACATGATCCCGTAAGGACCTCCCCAATTCTGAGATTCTGTGATTCTAAATTAACATTTTGGAGAGTTTTGTAATGCCCATCCCCCTGGAGGAGGTGCTGCTGGTCATCTGGGGCAAGCAAAGTTCATAAGGGCCTCTGTGTTCAGTGCTTTGCATTGGCTTTGTTTTTATCATCTACCTATCTTACCTATAAATTGTGTGGTTTACAATGCACAGTCATATAACATACATCAGCTCATTTGATCCTTACAGCTCTGTGAGATAGGCAGGGCAGGTAAGCCAAACTCATATATGTAATACTATCTCCCCTATAGAATATAAGTTCCTTTAGGGTAGGATGTCTTTGTATCCCCAATGTCTAGCACCTAGGAAGAGGTACTGGACTTGTGATGTCACTGGTACAGGGAACTCTCCACAAGGAACCATGCTCTACCAATGCAGGTCAGCATGTCCTCTGCAAAGAAGGTAAGTGATTTTCCCAAGTCACCCAGCCAACATATGTTAGGCACGGGGATTGAACCCAGGTCTTTCTGTCTCCAAATCCAGCTTTCTATTCACAACACCACACTGCCTCTCATAGTTGTGGCCTAATAAGTGTTTGTTAGTTGATTGACTCTTCTTTCCATCTCTCCATATCTGTTCTCCAGCTCCGTCTCTTCTTTCCTCCACGAGGGAACTAAAACCCATGAAGCTTCAGAGATTTGTCCAAGGTCTTACAACTAACGAAAGGCCAGAGTCAGCACTAGCACCTGAGGCTTCTTAGCCTTGGGTCAACATCACTTCTACTACTACTTCCCCCTCAAAAGTAAATTAGCCTGTATTTCAGCTGAATGACTCATTTCCTTCAAAGTACACTTTCCTCCTATTTACAGAATTCCAGCAGTGCTCTAAAACTAGAAAGAGGACCTGCCCTAGATAAGGTGGCTGGCATTTCTCTACTTGCCCATCAGCCATCAAGGGTCATTTCTGGGGATTATGAACATCTGAGCTACAAATCATGACAATGGTGTACATGTATGTGTGCATGTGTGTATGCATATGTATTGTGTGTGTGTTTGGAGGAGTGAGAGATGGATAGGGTGATGATATCTCCAAATGGAATTGTGAAGATTCATACAGATTCCCAGGCCATGGCTGAAACCTTGACTTGGCATGACATTGGGTAAAGCCTCATTATATTCATGAATGAGTACAAGTTTCTCTCTGCTAAAAGATATCTAAGTTATAGTTAATAAGGGTAAAGCAAGATCTCCTACCCGACTTTGCAGAGGTGGGAGACTATGGATGTAGAATGCTGCATATACTGTTAATTATTGTTGCATTGGTTGGTTTTGCCTAACTGCTTTTTTATTATTTTATTCTTCATTACAAGGCATGAATTATAGTTAGATGGGAGGGGTAGGTATATTTGGAAATGAAGGTAATAATGAAGACATTAAATTAAACATTTATTCTTGTTTTAACTAAATTTAATTAAACATTTTAAATTACTTTTTAAGTAAAGTGGGGCAGTATTCATTATCATCTTCAAACAGATCAGTGATAATCATCTGGGGCGGGGGGGGTACCCACCAATACCTTCTTGTATTATGCCACTATCCTTGTTCACATCCTTCTATAAAATTTTCACAAAAGATACACCCAAGATACTTCCTATAGATTTCTTGACATAGCATGGATGCCAGTCATCTTTGATCATCCCTACAACAACCACTGCCTCCTTTTACAGTTATAGATCTCTCTGTAATGGAGGTGATTGAGACCTATGCCTTATTCTGTAAGTCTCATTTCCAATGAAATAATCCACCAAAAGCTTACTTTAAAAGTTTCCTTGAGGAAAAAAGTGTGTTTTTTCAGGAGGGTGGGGGAAGGCGAAAACTCAAAAACTACCCATATTTTGACATTAATTTTTCTTCCTCTTTCACTTCTGCCACTGTCCTTATTCTGCAACTGCCCAAGGCCAGTGTCAGTGACAGGTGCCCTGGATATTCTCCAAGGAATAGTCTACAGGCCTATGTCAATTCAGAGAAGTTCAGCATCAGAGAGCTGGCCACAAGAAGGCAATTGCTTTTATAGAACAGAAGAGGACCATAGAGGTCACCTAGTCTAAGCCTCTTGTTTTACAGATGAGGAAAATGAGGTACAGAGGTCAAGTAACTTATCCACAGTTACATAGCTAGCAAATAACAGAGGCAGGATTCAAATTCAGATTATCCTGATGAGCATTTTATTCACCATGCCACACTGCCTCTCTAAAAGCAACCCATGAAGATTAGCTACTAAGTTACAAAGTCACCTCCTTTGGTGGAAGGCATACCCACATCGGTGAAATCGTGGATCTTTGAAGTGTTAATGTAGTAATGAATGAGAGGTGATGATCTCTCCACCCTCTACACACACACACACACACACACACACAGAGTTTTTTTGAGTGGGGAGGGGGCACTGGGATCCTGAATGTTTTTAACTGTCAATTTCACTTTTTAATTTCATGAAGAGAGCTGGTTAGGGTTGATTTAGCCAATAAGTCTTTGCAGCTGGGCAAGAGGATATATATATATATATATATATATGCATATGAATATATATGTATATGTGTATATACACATATACACACATACACACACATACAGAGAGAGAGAACTTTATGTTTCAGAAGAGGCCATAAAGAGTGCCCATTTGGGAAGGAACATTGATCAGGCTTTGAAAGAAAATGGTGACATTAATGTTGGATGTTGAGTGTGGCCAGCAAGATGGAAAGGTATACCACTCAGACATAATCAGGCCTCTGGTCATTAGACTAAAAGGCTTAGCTCAGTGAATTCAAGCCATAAGCTATGTCAGCTATTACACAGCGGCTAGAGTGCTACACATAGAGTTAGGAAGATTTAAATTGTAAACCCTTCCTAAAACACTGACTAGCAAATTTTATTTAACTTCTCTCAGACTCAGTTAACTCATTGTAAAATAGTAATATTAATAGCATCTACCTTACAGGGTTGTTATGAGAATCAAAGGAGATAATACTTGCACAGCACTATGCAAATTTAAAAGCTTTCTATAAAGGCTATTATGATTATCATTATTATTATTATTATTATTATTTACAATGTTACTCAGTTGTGAAGTTCAGCAGCTTGAAAGTTTTCCATTCTTTTCTATCATCTGTGGTTTTAAAAGATGAAAGGAATTAGAGCTTTCCGAGACTTAGGGTAGTCTTGAAACTTCGTGAGATAGAACCTAGATGAAAAGAAGAAACATAATTAATACTTTGGGCAAGAGACGAATGAAGCATGCTGATATTCCACTCCCTCATGCAAAAGGAGGGTGAATGACAGAATTAATGCACTGTAGCCCAGCCTTTTTTATTCAGGAGCCATTCCACAAATAACTGTCACAAAATGACATGTGATAGAGGGACGTTATTTTGTGGAAGGAACATTGGATTTGGAATCAGCAGACCTGGATTTGAATCTAGGCTCTGCCATTTCCACTGGCTGTATGACTCTGGACAAATCTGAACAAACCTCTAAATTTCAATCTTATCTGTAAAATGAGGAGGTCGGATTAGACTAGATAGCTCTCCCAGGGCTTTAGGCTCTTCTCTTCTGCTTCATTACCTACACTCTGACTCTTGGCCATTTGGCTTCTTATAAACTAAGCCAAAGCAAGGAAAGGAGTTGATATCCATGTGAAATGGTCAGCTTGACCTAGGTCAGGCAGAAAATAGAGACCCAGATAATCATGGCAAGGGAGGAGCACAGATAATATCGTAAAGTACATGAGAATTAAACTTGAACACCTCCAGCCTCCTCATTCTGCCCTTGTGCTCCCTCCCTGCTTCTCTCAGGCACCAATGCCTTTATGTTTTCTCCTTTCCATAGCACTTAAGGCCAACAAAAAATATAACCAAAAAACCAATAACAATTTAAAGCATGAACTCTTACTTTACCCAGAACTTCCCCCTGAAATCTCAATTTATTTCCGATAATATATCATTTCTGAGTCAAGGAAATCCTTCTAGTATTTATCATAGCTCTGTGATTCACTGACCTGTAGACAAGCTAAATCCTTAAAATCTAGGCTTTTGACCACCAGAGGCCATTCAAAAATCCTGGAAATGCCCAGATCTAAACCATCTCCTTTCCAGGCAAGTTTTCTTGCTACACCAATAAAATACCAATAAAAATAAGGCTAGCTTAAGATATATTAAAAGAAATAGGCTTACTTCCATAGTTTTTATTTCAAAGATATATAATTTTGTCTTTGTGACTATCCTCTCCTTCAGTTCAGACCACAGTCCCCTCTCTGCCTTAGTTGACATTTATTATTAGTTGCTGGTAAAAAAAAAAAAAAATTGGTGGTCAGCCTTCTGGTGCTGAACCTTTCTGAAATTAATGAGATTGAGTTTCAGATAAAAGTCATACACTTTATCATCAGACCTATACTTGAAGAGTCTCTATGTTGGTGGGACCTAGCAGAGTTTATTCTTCATTTCCATAGCTTTTTTGAGAGCCCAGTGTCATCTCCATCCCACAAGGGGACCTGAGAGGAAGATTAGTGGAGGAACTGATTGCTGTGTCTGGAAAATCAAGGTAATTGTTCCACTGTACTTGACAGTGGATTTTTCCTCTGTATTTTTAAGCACACTGATCTTTTTACTCTATAACTTGATTCTGTAATCTCTACTCCATTACTCCAATTGTTAGACATAGGAAAGAGTAGATTTGGAAGTCAAAATGAATAGGTTTAAATCCCAGTACTACTCACTACATGAACAAATCACTTAGCTGCAGTTTTCTCATCTAGAAAATGAATAGTTTATACCAAAGATCTAAGATCCCTTCCAGCTTTAGTATCTTACTAGTCTATAAGATTAAGATGAGTTTCATTAGCCACAAGGCACACACACACACACACACACACACACACACTGAGACAATGACTCCAACCAATTAAATGTACCTGTTCTTGTCACAAGACACTAATGAATAATTTGACTAGAAATCTCAGATCTTCTTTGACACTTACCAGCCATCTTCATGCCATACTGATTGCTCTCTACCTTCTACCTCCGTCCAGAACTGAAGGTCTCATCCCCATGACCCTGAGCTTTTACTGGTGAACATTCACCTGATCACGCCTGACCTCAGGCCCTCAATGCTGCTTCCTGGCTATTTCTCTGCCATATCACCAAGTTCATGTACCAACCTACCAAACATCACCTCTGTTTCCAACTCTAGTTCTGAGACCAACACTACCATTCTCTAGAAGAACATATTTGTCAATCAGTTATCCTATGCCTCCAATCATTGTTCCATGACTTCCCCTGTCTAGAAGGGGAAGTCCGTGCTCACCATTCCTCTATATGTGTTATCTTCTCCTACTAGAAGGTAAGTTCCTTGAGGGCAAGAACTGTCTTCCTTGTTTGTATCCCCAGAGTTCAGTGTGGTTTCTGGAACAAATTAAGTGCTTAATAAATGCTTTTTTATTCATTGAAATCACCCATAACTGCAACAGACCAGAACTACAGAACCTCAGAGTTGGAAAGGAGCTCAAAAGTCATCTAGCCCCACTCATATTTGAAAAAATAATCTAGTCCAACCCACACCTAACCCTTCCACCCATTGCTCCTGATTCTACCCTCTAGGACCAAATAAAACAACTCTATTCCTTTTTCCGTGACATCCTTCAAATACTTGAAGACAGAGATTATGGCTCACTTAAGTCTTTTCCACGCTAAACATTCCCATTTCCTTTAGCTAGTTGTCAAGTGGCATAAACTCAAGACCCTTCCCCATCTTCCTTCACCTCCAGTTTCTCAGTAGCTTTCCTAAGTTGTGATACTTAAAACTGAACATATTAATCAATCTATGTTCCAGAGTCCAGTGAGACTTTCACTTCTCAAACACATCAAGTAGCATTTTGAAGAAACATTTTATCAAGGAAATCTTGATACAAAACCATTTGTTTATGGGTTTATTTTGTTGTTGTTACTGTTGAGTCATGTCCAACTCTTCATGATCTCATTCAGAGTTTTCCTCAGCAAAGGTACTGGAGTAGTTTGTCATTTCCTTCTCCAGCTCATTTTACAGATGAGGATACTGAGGCAAACGGGGTTAAGTGATTTGCCCAGTCTCACACAGCTGGAAAGTGCCTGAGGCAGGATATGAACTCAGGTCTTCCTGACTGCAGACCTGGTGTCACCTAGCTGCCCATGTGGATTTAACCTCACCTCAAAAAGATAGAGCTTTGTCATTCTGATTCTAATCTTTGTTATCCATATATTCAAAGAAATTAAAAACCTAGAAAGCCAAATTTTCCTCTCCCTGTCCTAAATCAAACCAAATATTCAACTTAGCGACTAAATAAGTGCATTTACAGGAAATAAAGTTGTATAAAAGAAAATGTTTCCTCTTGTGGCTTACCTGTGACTTTGATAAGCTCGTTTTCCAAGAAAACATAATGAGAAAAAGGCAAAGGCCAGGCCTGGGAATGACCAGGTTGCCATGGCATAGCCAATCCATTCCACAATCTCACCAAAGTAATTGGCTCCAGAAATGTAAGTGAACAAGCCTCCTATATTTAGAAGATTCAAACATTCAAGTCAGCATAATGAGTTACCACAAGAATTAGTACCCTCCCTCCCCCTGTTTCAAATAGACACTCAAGTGGTTAACACAGGGTTTTGTGTGTGTGTTAATTTTTTTTTTGTTTTTGGGGGGTGTTTTTGTTTTTTGGCTAGTCAATCAGGGTTAAGTGACTTGCTCAGAGTCACACAGCTACTAAGTATCAAGTATCGTATATACATTTATTTATATAGATAACATATGTATAGCTGTACACGTTTAGGCCAGATTTAAACTCAAGTCCTCCTGACTCCTGGCTGGGGCTCTATCCACTGCGCCACCTACCTGCCCCATTAACACAGGTTTAAGCTGGATTGTGTGTAGAAACTCATGCAGCAGTCCTTGGCTAAGGACCCTTCTCTTGGAAGACCAGATCTCTCCACAGATCTCTAGTCACTAAGGTACATTTTTGAACCTGAAATCTAGTAGAGATCATGCTTATTTTATCACCAGAGATCATATTCTCTCACTGAAAAGAAATCCTGCCTTTAATTGTTCCAAGGCCTAGCTCTGGCTGAAGATAAGGTGTCTACTTCAAACTATCAGTCACCTCCCCAAAGGAAGGGAATAAGCATTTAGATGGTACCTACTAATGCTGGGTGCTTAACTAATATTATCTCATTTCATCCTTATAACAACCCTGAGAGGTAGGTGCTGTTATTATCCACATTTTACATTTGAGAAAACTGAGGCAAACAGAGGTTAAGTGACTTGCCCACTAGTAAGTGTCTGAGGCCAGATTTGAATGTAGGTTATCCTGACTCAGGGCCCACCAAGCCAATGATCTACCTCTATCTCAGTCTACCCAAAGACAGAACAAGAATCATACTTGTTCACTCTTACTCACCAATACTTTTATTATTTATCTCCTTTTTCTTTCTGAGAAAGAGTCAGTATTCCATAGCAGATGCAGAACCTGGAGTCAGTTAAACTTGTGTTGAAATCTTGCTTCTTACACTTACTACCTTTATGACAATGGACTACTCAATTAATCTTGCTAAGCTTCTGTCCAGGAGTCTAACAAACCTATGAAATCACAGAGCTTTGACATATTGATGTTTCTGTTTCTGCCCTCTACTCCCTCTACCTACAACAGGTTTTATGATTTTTGTTAATCATGCATAGAAGATGTGTGCTCCCTTCCATAGTCCATGGAAGTTGGTCTGGCCTTCATTCAAAATCATCCTATTCCAGAGGACAACTGAATATTTTCCCAGGGAAGCACACACACACACACACACACACACACACACACACACACACACACAC